GGTAAGTTCCGTGCCGTACGCGATATCTCAATTGCACCCATCGACTCATCCGATCAAACACAAATATTACGTATGATGGACGAACCGGAAGGCGTTATAAACCGTTATACGAAAACTAATCGTCCCAAGCCGAAAAAGAATAAGGATCCTGAGAAGCGTAGCTTGCTACAGCCACGTGGTTCGCTACAGGATCTTACCATCGATATTGATGGCACGAAAAAATTGTAAAATCGTGCGATAATAATGATCTGAAACTAAATCTTAAGTAACAACTAAGTGCTGAAAAGTCCGGATCCCCTAAATGACGGTACCGAAATGTATGCTTCCAATGTGAGAATTGTAAGGAATAATTAGTGAAAACGTAACACTTAGCCAATAAGCCATAATAGTAATATGTATACGTTTGCCAGCCATCTTTTACACAAAACTTAGTTACATTTAGTACAATATTCTTTGGGCATATTAATTTAAGTACTTAAAGTTAGAGCAGTTTATTTTTTATACCACCGCTAAAAGCCAACAGTACTTTCAAACGTTTCGAAGTGTGAAAAGTGAAATTCGCACTGATTTGCTAGAACTCTTTGAACACAACGCTATATACAATATATTCGGCAGTATTACTTATGTATGTAATTACAAATAATTTTTCGTACTTACACATTTTTGAAAAGTCTATTTTGTTTCGTTTTGTATTTTTTTGTTTTTGTGCTAGCCAATTCGTGCAAGCAAATGTGGTATGTAATTGAAAAGACAAGACACTAAACCCTTTCGATTTAGTATACATTTAAATATATACATATATGAAATAAAAATATTTGTAGGTTCTGAAATTAAGTAACCGTTAGCGACATTACCTTTTGTTAACCCAAAACATTCCCCCAATTGGACTTTTGCTAAAATGTTAAACATTTACAAAAATATATACATATATTGTTAATTAGCTRCAAGTTAAAATTAACTAAAAATCGAAACATTTTTGCATATGAAAGAAATTTTGTTAGGTATTGCTCTTTTTGTCATATATACATATGTAGTTAGCCCTAGGCGCCTTTGCTAAATATATGAAATTAAAAAAAAAATTGTAATTGTAGGCACTCATTTTATTGATGAGCGTTATATACACATACATACATATACCCCTGTATACCAAACTATTATTGTCTAAACCGTAATAATATTAATGCTAATTGGATTGTAAGCTTAAAGTATAGTCCAACGAATTACTGTAATACTAATAGTACTAACTAACGATACACAATAAAACTTCATATACAGAAACAATCTTAAACTTAATGTATGCTTAATTTAAGGCTAAACATTTTTAAAGTCTATAAATTTTCAACTGTGCAAATATTTTTTTTAATTGAATATAAAGAAATTAAGAAAAGTAGAAATTA